CTTTTCAGATCAGAGAACTACCTTTCTTCTCTCCCACAAGTAAAATGGAGGCAGAGGGCCAAGAATTGGTAACCATGATCTATTCTTCTCTATACTTGAGTGCTCCCTCTATGGTGACAGGCCAGAGCTGGGGGAGATGGGGCTTGGAGAGGCAAATGGAGTCAGGCTTGGGTGAAGGCAGCTGGGCCTTCATTTGCTATGTAAGATACCTCAGTCACGGTGTAGTCTCTGGACCATTCTCTGATCCTTCCTTACCTTGCCCTGCCTAGGAATGAAAGCTTCTCCTCTGGACCCAGTTTTGAAACCATCTCTGCTAGTGGCCTGAATGCTGCCCTGGCCCATTACAGGTACTTCAGAACAAAGAATTTTCTAGAGTACTTACTTGTGAGCAGGGGTCATAGTTGTGAGTACAGAGGGAATGGGGTGGGAAGGGAATACTCTGAGCTCTGGGTCAACATTTAGGGTTTAGGGCCTTCAGGACTGTGGGTGGTCAAGGAAGGAACTACTTCGCTGTTTGGAATCTCCTTAAAAGTAAAAGGCTGGAGTGTGGCTTTTGTCCCTAAAAGGCTGGGACTTGGGGAGTGCTTGAGTGCTCTGGGGGTCTTTAAGGTTTAAGAAAAGTATAGATGCTGTTAGAAGCTTTTTTTCTTTCTTTCTTATGTGGATTATTTCTGTTATTGCTTTGTCTGAGATAGTTTTACTGTTTTGTTTTGAGACAAGTTCTCAAGTAGCCCAGGCTAGCCTCAACCCCACTATGTGGTCAAGATTGGGTCTTACCTCCTGATCTTTCTGCCTCTTAAGTGCTGGTTTACAGGTATGCACAACCACACCCAGCTTGAGATAGGGTTTTGCTTTGTAGCTTAGGCTGGCCAGGAACTTGTGATCCTCATGGATGATCTTTGCAAATGCAGGCATGAATACCACATAACACCCCCACAGAAAAAGGCCTGTCCACTTAACCTCCATCAACCATAGTGAGTCCAGAATATAAGTTAGTTCAGATACTTGGTCCCATAGAAAACAAGCCACAGTAGGCCTACCTGATAAAATTTGGAGGGCCAAGCTGACAAGATGCATCAGGTTGGCCTGGGCATGGCAGAAAGGGGGTCAGATGCCCTCCAGAGAAAGACATAGCATGTCTGAGAAGTCCCATCTCTGACACCTCCTCCTAAGCCTTGCCCATGGGCGCTAGAGAATGGCACAGTAGATCTACCTCAGTCCTCTAAAATATTGTTCTCCAGCCCTATCCTTGAAGTCCCTCTCTTCCTGTGCCCTTGCTCCCTGGGACCCTCTTGGATATCAAGAAGATAGAGAGAAAGAGCGCTCAGGCCCAGCACATCTCTTCTCCGCTGTGGGCCTCTTGCAAGCCTCTTGCCTCTGTTCGCTTGTTCTTTTGTGAGCAGAGCTAACTGAACCAAGTAGCCTCTATGACTCTTGGCTCCTCTCCCTGGGGACCAAGGTCTTGCTTGGCCACATGCCAGATAAACAGAAGTGTGCTGAGGACAGTAGCTACAGTTAGAGCCAAGTGCTTTCCCGGTATCCTTTGGGAGATAGTTATTTCCCCAGAACAGAGAGCCTGAAGGCTAGCTCCCAAGTGGGGAGGGCGTTCTGTTCCTCCTCGTGTCTGCCCTGTTTGCCCAGTGCAGGGCTCAGATTCTCCTCTCTCAGAGTTCATTCTCATTCCCAGCCCTACCAAGGATCTGCACCGCAAGCTGTCCTCAGATGAGATGTACCTGGTGGATTCTGGAGGTCAATACTGGTATGTCCATCCCATCATGCCTTGGCCTAGCTCTCAGCTCAAACATCCTGGGCTTCCAGAGGCTGGCTAAAGCTGGCTTTCCTGGGTCATAGGTGTTCATTTGATTAAAGTACAGACTTGCATTGAAGAAGCCCTGAGCAGCCTCCTCATGTTCCCACTAGGGGTGCCTGCACAGTAGAAAACACACAGAGATCAGAATAATGGGGGCACTCATGCAGCACCTGTGTGGGAATTAGGAAAAGACTCTACTTGCTTAAGTAATTTTTTCAAGTCTGCAGATTATTTACACAGATCTGCCTGGCTGCACAAACATGAACACCCACTTTCTCACCCACTCATGCAAGCCCTAGACACAGCCCACATCAGAGCCATCAGACCCATCTCATTCGCTGTGGCAAGATAAGTGGCCATGTGAGGCTGGAGATGGAGGCAGATGAAAGAAGTAACCCTTTAGATGTCATTCTCTTATACAGTGTCAACCTAAACAGTCTGATGTGACAGCCATACTGAATAAGCTAACTGTATTCCTTCAAAATGTGTGGCCATTCAGTTTCTTCAGGTTTCTAGCCTCTGGAAAGGGTGAATGCACCAAGGACAGAGACTCTTGTTCAGCACACACCTCATGGGGAGCCAGCTCGCCATATGCTCAGTTTAGCAGCCTGAACTTACCACTAGTTTGATGTTGTGTGAACTTGAGATGGCCGCAAAGAAAGAGGAAGTGAATTTGTGGGGGGTGTGTTGGGTTGGCGCATGCTCAGAAGAGGGGTAAGGTAGGGAAATAGTCACCTCACTTCCTCTTCTCTCCTGAGGAAGAAGTTCCCCACGCCCCATGACCTACTCTCCAGAAGCCCCAGAGCCCTGGGATGGGTATGCTTAGTGCCAGCCTGAGGGAGCCACTACAGCTAGTGATTGTGAGTTAGACCTGCTAGCTCTGACTTCGATGTAGTAGAATTCTAAGCAATGTTCATAGCAAAGAGCATCTTAGGGGGAGTCAGCATTTTCTCCATTCTGGCTTTATGAAATCTTGGGGAGGGAGATGGCCTCACAGCCCTAATGACTTCGGTGGTCCCATCTTTAATAAGGAGGCCTGCTCTGCTGTCATCTGGGGAGCTGCAGAAGTGTCCTATAGATGGTAAATTGCAGTGACTGTGGGAGTGTTAGGATAATGTCACTTCTCTGAACGTCAGTCTCCCCATCTGTAATTTATAAGAAAGAAAGATAGACAATGCCCTGAACATAGCAACTTTTACCATTAAGAACTCTGCTAAGTCTCTTTGGTGCATGGATGCTGAGGTATGATTCTGATGGTGGTACCTATCCTCCTTCCTTCCTCCCTCCCAGCCATCCATCTCTCTTTCTAACATGATCTCACTGTGTAACACAAGCTGATTTTTTCATCCCAATCTTCCTACCTCAACCTCCTGCATGCTAGGATTACAAGCATGCACCACCATGCATGGTTCTCTATCTTTCCTTTGCTTCCTACCATGCCCTGTTCAAGCCTGTCACTCAAAGCCCAGTAGAAAAAGAAGTGGAAAACACACAGGAAGCACATGGCTCCGGCCCCTCCTCCTGAGTGCTCAGTAGAGTTGGATGTGTGAGTTCCCTTTTTTCCACAGGGATGGGACCACAGATATCACCAGAACAGTGCATTGGGGCACCCCTACTGCCTTCCAAAAGGTAAGTACTGGACCCCAGTTTCCCCTTCAGTTTCTCCTAAGTGATCACTTCATCAAGAGCAATTTCAAACTGAGGGAGTAAAACAGACCCAGAGAGGTTATGTAATTTGCCCAAGGTCACACAAGTACTAGGAAAGCCAGTGCAAAGTCAAGCCACCACCAAGACCTCAGGCTATTCATATCTTCCTGTCATGTCAATCCATGAGTGCACAGACATTGGCCATCTGTGTATTCATTCTGCACTCTACAAAAGGGAGGGAAAGCCATCTCTAGTGGAGGAAATTGGCATAGGACCTCTCTAGAGGAGTTCAGCTAGAATGCAACCCTGGGGCCAGTGGGCCAGGGTGCTGCTTACATGCAGCCAGGAAGCTGGGAAGAGAGAGGAGAATCCCTGTTATGCAGGCCTCCAGGAGCTCATAGTCTAGTATGTTGAGGACTGTTCTTCCTCAGAGCCCCAGATGGCAAGCCATTGCAGGAGTCTGGGGAAATGAAGTGACCACATGGCTACTAGTAGACACCAGAACAGGTCACCATTGCCCGTCTCTCTCCCTCATCAGGAAGCCTGCCCTGCCACAAAATCAGGCCCAACCCAAACTTCAGGCCTTAAGGAAACTAAAGGAAGTTGCTAAGGCATGGTAGTACATACCAGGGAGGTAGAGGGAGGAAGATTGACTGTTCAAAGTCAACCTTGGCTACATAGAAAATTGAGAGCCTACCTATGAGGGATATGGGATTAACCAGGCTAACTTTACTTGAGCATTTGCTCATTGCCTTATACTCAGTGTCAGTCTACCTCATCTTACAACTTAAGGAACCAGGTACCATTAACATCCTATTAAATATGAGGAAAACAAGGTATAAAGAGGTGAGAGAGATCTGGGCATGGTGGCACATGCCTTTAACTCCAGCCCTCTAGAGGCAGACTTAGATTTGTGAGTTTGAGGCTAGCCTGGTCTACAGAGTGAGTTCCAGGATAGCCAGAGCTAAACAGAGAAACCCTTTCTCAAAGAAAAAGAGAGAGAAGGAAAGAGAGGGGAGAGAGAGAGAGAGAGAGAGAGAGAGAGAGAGAAAGAAAGAGAGAAAGGTGAAAGGTGAAAGGTGAAAGAGTCAGTGAGTGGTCAAGCCAGGATTCTAGACTTGAGATGAAAAAGACCTGCTGCCATCTACCCAGTCACTATCCTCTACTTGCATACAGCGCATGACAGTGACCCCTGTACATCAGCCCGAGAGAAACACATGGAGTTAGCCCCAGCTTTGGGAACACCTCCCTTCTCCACATTCCTTTGATCAT